GCCTCAGCCTCCTGAGTGCTGGGATTACAGGTGTGCGCCACCACGCCCTGCTTTTTCTTTCTCTCTTTATTTCGTGCTTCAATACTGAAAGTGTCTTACCTCTGCGTGTGTACTGGGACCGGACCGGGGGCCTTCCCACCGAGCTGCGTTCCCAGCCTTTTTTTATTTTATATTTTTTAAACAGTGTCTGGCTAAATTGCTAAGCAGTTCACCGACGCTTTTCACCCTGCGCTCTGACTGCCTATCTTTCTCCCCAGGCCGTGTGCAGCTGCGGACAGGGCCTTGAAGGGGTGAGACGCTGTCGCCGCCAGGGTCGCTGTGGGCGCTGGGAAGAGGAGGCGCAGGCGCACAGGGGCCCGCGGCCGGCGTCCTTCCGTCCCCATGGCGACCGCTGGAGCGGTTGTCGCGTGCGCGTGAGGAAAGGTTAAAAAGCGCTTTCTCTCTCTCTGTGTGTGTGTGTGTGTGTGTGTGTGTGTTTGGTTTTTCTCCGGTACCGGGAACCGAACTCACGACCTTGCGCTTGCCAGGCAGGCGTAAAAAGCACTTTCTGATTCGGTTCTGCAGCGTCGCGGCGGGGGCAGCACGCGGCTCCATCACCAGGCTGAGAGATTTCTCCTGGGCACAAGTCTAGTGACGGCGCGGATACACAGCTGTGTTCTCGAAAATCGCATAAGGAGGCTTCAGGAGTTTCTCCCCAGACCGGTGGTCACCTCCCACCTGCCCTAGGGCAGTGCAGCAGGCTCTTGGACAGTCACAGGTCCAGAGTGTGAGTGCCAGCCCTTTGCTCGTGGTATTTTTTGGTTTTTGTTATTTGAGACAGAATCTCATTGTGTAATTCAGGCTGGCCTTGAACTCACTATGTAGCTTTGAACTCCCAGGGATTCTCCTGCCTCAGCCTCCTGATCGCTGGGATTACAAGCATGAGTCACCACATCGGGCATCCCTCAGCCCTTTTAAATAAATTAATTAGGTTTTTTGAGACAGGACTTGGATATGTAGTTTAGGCTGGCCTCAAACTCATCCTCCTGGCGCAACCTCCCAAGTGCTGGGATTACAGGGCCCAGGAGAAATTATTCTCATATTCTCCCCTGAGCCTTGGCACTCAGGCTACATCCCCAGTCCCCTGTTACTTTTTTTTTTTTTTTTTTTGAGATAGGGTCTCACTAAGGTCACTAAATTGCCCAGGCTGGGCTCAAACTCGAGACCCTCCTGTCTCAGCCTCCCCTGGCCTACGATATCATTGCTAGCTGAGAAACGGTTCATGGCACGGAATTTTCTGAACCTTGTGGCCCTTCCTCCACCCCTTCCGCTCCTGGCCATGCACAATAGTACACTCCAGTTGGAGGGTGGGGAAGCTGCTCAGAGCTGATACGACCCTGCCCGCCTTGCCCTTCCTGAGCAATCAGCTTGCCCAGGCTTCGCCTGCCTTTAGGGGTGCAGTTCCCCAGTAGCCCACTGGGCGGTGCTGCTCCTCTGTCCGTCGCGGAAGCCGGAGAGTCAGACGTGCCTTTTGGTCCAGTGGGAAGGGCTAGTGTTTCTAAGCGGTGAAGGCGGGTGCTCCTGTTTCCCGTGAGAGCTGTGTGTGAAAGCCTTCGCAGTGAAGTCACTTCTCATCCGAATAGCACTTGGAATGTGGCAGGAAGTGTGCTGTGAGGGCTATACAGCTAAATAGCTGAAGAATTTTAAAATGCCATACTTCAGGCAAAAGTGGCAGTGTGCACCTGTACTCCCGGCTTCTCAGGAGGCTGAAGCAGGAGGATTGCGTGAGCCCTAATTTTGAGGCCACCCTGCTGAGCAGTACAGAGAGAGAGATAGCATCAAAATACCTCCAACTATTATCACCACCACCACTGCCACGAAGACCAACTTTTTCTTTGGTGGTGGTACTGGGGATTGAATCTAGGGGCTCGCATAAGCTTAACAAGCGCATTATGCCGCTGAGCTACTCCCCATCCCTCTTAATTAATTATTTATTTAATTAATTAGATATTTAGAGACAGTGTCTTTATACAGTTTAGGCTGGCCTCAAACGTCATTGCACCTCCCTACCTCAGCCTCCTGAGTGCTGGGATTACAAGTGTGTGCCGCCATGCCTGGCTGAAATTCATTTAAGTTACACTTTCGGACAGGGTCTTGCCAAATTGCCTGACATAGCCTGTTAGCAAACCTCCTCCCTGGTCGCTCGTTTTCACAGCCATTTTTTTCAATATTGCCTTTATAAAAACCTTAGAAGATTGAGATTTTTATTTTATATTTTTGAGACAGGGCCTCTCTCTGCAATTCAGGCTGGCCTTAAAGTCCCTATGTAGCCCAGGCTGGTCTCGAACTCATGGTTATCCTCCTGCCTCAGCCTCCTGAGTGCTGGGATTACAGGCGCGCACTACCACTCCAGGCTTCACCTCTGAAGTAAGGAACAGGGAGGGAACCGTCAGAAGCCACGCTTTCTGGGCTGTGGTACCGTCCACGTCCCCTTCCCCTTCCCTTCGGCTGTTTATGCGACAGCTCGTGAGATTTCCTGCCATCTGTTTCTGAAAGAGGCAGGGACGGAGAGGGTTTGCAAGCGTTTGAGGCGGGCGTGACATTTCGAGCTGGGTCTAAGCTCCGGTTTCTGCAGTGTCTTTGGGCCTGGCCGGCGATGGATCGGGACTCCCTCGGGGACCGGCGGCCCTGCGCTTCGCGGTCACCCCCGCGTCCTCAGGGCTGCCGCTGTCTGCGGCGCTCGGGGCGCCCTGGGGCTCAGGGGCCGGGCTGGAGGAGTCTGTCTGCCCCAGGGCTGCCCGGCGGCCTCCCCGCAGTCCTCCTCCCGGCCGGCAGAGGTCCTCCTGTCCTCCTGTCCCCCTGTCCGTCCCCTGTGCGCCCGCGCCCGTGTCCCGTGTTCTCTGCTGACGACCCCCGCAGCTCGGCTGCGCCCGCGGGACCTGGATCCCCAGCGCCGGCCCTGCGAGCCTGCGGCCGACCGTCACCCCGGGGCGGGCCGCGCACGGGTCCACAGCTCCCTGGGCAGTGGTGACTGTGCAGCGCGGGGCGCGGCGCTCCCCGACTCCCTTCACCTCCTGCCCTCCCTCTGCGGGTCCCCTTCCTTTCTGCAAAAGAACTACTTCCTGTTTGCCGCGGTCGGCTTTTACCGTGCTCTGTAATTTATTCATACTTTGGGTTTCTCCTGCAAGAGAAGCCGTGAGCTGTGTAAGCTTGTGTGTTCGTCCTAGGGGTTTCGGAGAGGTACACAATTTTACGGAAAGAGGAAGGTGTAGCTCCGTGATGAAGTACTTACTCAGCATGCCCGAGGCCCTGTACTAGTACCTAGTACCTAGTACCTAGTACCGCCAAAAGAGAGAGGGAGGGAAACGGAGGGAGGGACAGACAGAGAGAAGAGAAGGGGTAGGGGAGGGGAGAAGAGCGCACATTTTTCCTCACCGAAATTAAACTATCCCCAAGGGAAACATATGTGTATACATATATATATATAAAATTTCTATTACAATTTACATCTTGTTAATTCATTAAATTTTCGTCTGAGAACATACTGGGAGAAGGCGGGAAAAAAGTTTTCCTTTCCCTAAATCATAGACTCAAATATTAAACCACTTGCATATCTCGTGGGCATCTCAAATTTAAAATACTGAAAACAG